GTTCGTGGCGGGGGGCTTAGTCCTCCCCCCAAGTCTCCTCCCCAGTGTCGAGGCCCCAGTTGGCAGACGAAAATTTTAATGCAAACTGTAAATTATTATATACTTAGTTACATCTTGCATCCCGACTGCAGATGCCAGGCGGCTTTTCCATTTCCACTTTCCCTTCCCAGGCAGGCCCTTCCCACCCACTCGGCAGAGGCAACTCTTTGAAAAGGCAGCTTTAGTCATTTCTGGGTTGCCTTTGCCAGACAATACAAAACTATAAATATTCACAATCACTGGGTAAGTCACAATCACAGTTCAAGTCACAGTTATAGTGGCAGTTTTAATTATTTTCGGTTCTTAGAAGAAGATAGGTTATCTTGGATTTAGGATAAAATATAATAGGTTAGGATAGTATATCTTTTATAGAATATATTCTATTTATAGGATTTTAAAGGATATCTTTGTTGAAATATTTTAAATATTTAAAAAAGCCTTTATAAGAACCATTATCTATTAAGTTAATTTTAAATTAGTATTTTCTGTATTTTAAATTTAGAAGGAAATTAATATCCCACTATATTTCTTAAAGTTCCTTAAAGTCAGTAGGAAAAAGTCTTAAATGTGGTTTTTTAATTAAACAACTCTTGAAATTGATTACAAATTTACAAAAGTTTTAATTATTACCATCTTATTTCTCTTAATTTTATACAAAACAAGAAAGGAAAGCTAACTTCGGGCGGAGCCGAAGTTGATATACCCTTGCAGTTAAAACCGGATATATATCGCAAACATCGGATTTAGTTGGCCGATCCTTATGATTACATTATAATAAAACCAATTAATTAAATTACAAAATCTAAAAAAAAGTCCCAAGCTTCTATCGTCAAAAAAAACAAAGTTGTTATTTTTACTAAACACCAAATACCATTTCTGATCGTTCAGTTATATGGCAGCTATAAGATATAGTCGGCCGATCCTTATGAAATTTGGTAGGTTGGATCAACTGACCAAAAATAGAATCTGTATGGAATTCCAGCATTCTATCTTCAAAAACACGAAAGTTGGGTCATTTCCGATCGTTCAGTTATATGACAGCTATAGGATATAGTCGGCCGATCCTTATGAAATTTGGCACGTCGTATTGTTTTGCCAAAAATAGCTCTCATGTTAAATTAGAACTTTCTAACTTTAAAAACACCAAAGTTATACCATTTCCGATCAATCAGTTATATGGCAGCTATAGGATATAGTCGACCGATCCCGGTCGTTCCGACTTATATACTGCGTGCAAAGGAAAGAAGGGTGTGTGCAAAGTTTCAAGTCGATAGCTTTAAAACTGAGAGACTAGTTCGCGTAGAAACAGACAGACGGACAGACAGACAGACGGACAGACGGACAGACGGACAGACGGACATGCTCATATCAACTCAGGAGGTGATCCTGATCAAGAATATATATACTTTATAGGGTCGGAGATGTCTCCTTCACTGCGTTGCACACTTTTGGACAAAATTATAATACCCTCTGCAAGGGTATAAAAATATATCAAAATCTGTCTTAAAATTGTCTGAAACATAGAAACATTCCAAAAACGGGCATTTAAAACAAGGCTTTAGGAAAAACGTTTAAGATTTAGGATTAGGGTTTTAACTTTAAAGAACAAAGCAATTTTGCATAAAAATAAGAATTTTCCTATATTATAAATTATTAATATTTTTATTCTTTATTTTGCCTCTATTATTTTATATTTTTCTTAGCCTTATATCTTAAGTTTAAGGTGAATTCTCTGAAACCTTTATCAAAAACTCCCCCTATATAGCTTCCTTTCTTATAAAATTTAAATAACAAACTCTACCATAAATGCCAAGTTTAAATGATTTAATATTTAAGATTCTTGTCAGGCACTGTAAGCCAGTTTATTCGCAATTCATTCCCTGCAATGAAATATAATTTTTCCCCTTTTTGGTTTTTTTTTCTTTGGCTTTTATTTTAGCCATTTTGTGTTGGGTTTTCTTTTTCGTCGACTTGGGTGTCTCTGGCAGGGCTAGGAAAATGCAAAATTTATTGCTGTAAACTACAAAATACACACAGTGAGTGGGTGAGTGGGTGGCCTATAGGGAGGTTGGGTGTTAAGTGGGAAACAGTGGCAGGGGTGTTGGAGGGGGGGGGCGTTGAAAATGTGTTAAGTCTATTGAGTGTATTAAAGCAAATAACTGCGTCGACGAATAAAATACATGCGGGAGGAATGCGCTCCAAGTGGGGCGGTTTGTTGGAGATGGGCGTGGCAAAAGATACTTTATACACAGACTCATCCTTGGCACAAAGACACACACAGGCAGACAGAGACTCTGGCAGATGCATCGACTCCAACATATGCAAATATGAATATAAATGAACAGCGCGATGAAGTCTAAAATGCAAAGTCTTAGGAGGTGATACACTTAAAGAAAAAAGAGGTTCTAGCTAGCTATATAGCTATAATGTAAATATTATTCCACAAAAAATTTATTTTCTAAAAAAGTTTCTTAACAAAAACATATACCTTTTTTTAAAAAAGGCGTAGAATCCGTAAAAAAAAGGCTTAGAAAGTCAAGTCTTTGAAAGTAATTATGTATTAGCTTAACCGTTATTAGACAACAACGGTAAATGATTTCCACTCTAACAAATTAGTGATTTTCCAAGGCTTAAATAAACACCCTGGCTCCCCAATTATAAATACTAGGAGCCTGTAAAATGCCAGAAGAAGGCTTATATTTGTGGTGTATTTTGGCAAAGATACGTATGTATGTATATGTATATATATATTCCACAGAATACTTTATGGTTAGTTAGTTCGACTTGCGGCTAAAACTGAAATTGACACAAGCACCGAGGCGAGGTTGAGATATAGACTATCGACCGCAAAAGGCAAAAGCAAAACAGATCAAATGAAATTTCATCGAATTATGGCTGCCGGGATAGCTTGCCAGGCCAACCGCATTACGAAGAACAAGAGTGAATCCTTTCCCAAAATCAAAGAAACTCCTTTCTCCATTGTTGTACTTTCAATCCAAAAAATTTAGAAACAAAATCCCATCCAACAAACCATAAATAATTGTCATTTTAATTAGAAGAATGGATGTGTTTTAAGAACCTACTACTTATGTATGTATGTAGGTGTTGCTAAAACGCTTAATTAGTTGGCAATTCATTTAATATTTGCAATTAAATTAATTTCAATGTTTGTGCAAAATGGTGGAAGAGGTAATAGTAGCATAAATAGAAATATAAACAGAAACGGAAGTGAAAATAGAAACAGAAACAGAGACAGTAACAAAACGGAAATAAGCAGCTTTTGACTAACGACAAAATGGATGCCACAGATGCTAGGACTATGGAATGTATATATGTATGTGTTTGTTAAAAAAATAAAAAAAGCAAAAAAGGGTAAAAGGAGCTGGAAGCTGAAAGCTTGAAACTGAAAATAGAGTAACATCTGGCGTTGTGCCCTGCACGATTACAAAAACATCAACACTTAATATGTTTATTAAATTTGTTGCTACATCATTAGGCACTAGCAGCCATGTAATGTGAGGCAAACACTTCACATGTACCCATGTACGCATGTCTGTGTGCGCCAGTATTATTGTGTGTGTGTGTGTGCGTGTGTAAGCATAGTGCGGAGTAATTGTGTGTTTGTGTTGTACAGCTACAACATACTCTACAAGCTCTATACACGCCATGGCCTATGACCTCACAAGGAATGAGAGAGAAGTTCTGTAGAAAGTAGATAGATATATGTTTACATTTTTTTAATTCTTTAATTTAATTTTTTAAGATCATATAGTTTTAAGAAATATAACCTCTTAACCCTACAGGTTATACACATAACTAGAAGGATACCTTAATTAAAAAGAAAGTTTCGTTAAAAGCCTTAATGTGTTTTATGTGTTACAGCCGAAACTTTCTGGCCACTTTTTCTTAAGTTTTCTCCTTTTCTTAAAAGCTTGTGTTTTTTTGGAAGAGAACCTCGAACTACTTATTCAAGATAACTACTCTCTTTAATTCAAACGTTAAGGATGGACCATAATTCTGTATAGATCCTTGCCAAGTATCCTTAGTGAGTATTAGTTTTGATTTTAGCCAAATTTTCGTCTAATTGGTAATTAAATTTGAGAGTATCTGTGGTTCGTTGAGAGTCCTGGAATTATAATATTTTTTTTTTTTGTTGCAAGCTTGTGCCAATGCCCTGGCACACACACGCATACTCACACACACTGACAGACTCCCATGGCATGTGAATGTATTTGTGCAATGCTTTGGGGCTACTTTGCATGAGCTTAACTGTTGTTGTTTAGGCGCAGTTTCAGTTACAGTTACAGTTTCAGTTACTGTTGCAGTTGCAGTTGCAGTTGTTGCACAACCAGCTGCTCAAATAGAAAGAGAAGGCTAGACAGCTAGAAAGAGAGAGAAAGGACGCAAGTTGAGGCTTTAATAAAAAAATTTGCATTGCCTACTTTTTGGATGCGTTGCGTTGGCAGAGAAATGCGAGGAAAAAGTTTAAAAATTCGTTTCATGAACTCACAAAAACAGAGAGAAATAGGAAAGTAGTTTTTAAAAATAATAATGATTTTATTTTAATTTTTTAAGACTAAGATTTTAAAGGTTTTTAAAGGTTTATGGTCAAAATTATACAAGAAAATATATTAAATATTTATCTCATCATTTTTATTTGTGTATAACCTTTAACTGCAAACATCCTGCATCTTTTTATTTTCCTGCTTTTTTAGTTTGCGACCCCCTTCCCCCCACTTCACCTCCCTCTGAAAATATGCGCATTATTCAGAAAAAAAAAAGAAATGCCCACTCGCTGCATAAATTTTAATGCTCATGATTATTATTATCATAAAGGAGTGTACATAAAAAAAAACCCAAATATAAAGCATATACATATACCTTCGTATACCTTCAGTATGGAGCCACTCCCAGACTCATTTGTAACTCATTTCCTTGCAGCCGCCAGCGAGGACATTGTCGCGAATACTTCCACCAAAATCGATGAACCGAAAACCCCAGCTGCCGGGCGGCAGGATATGGCCGAGGGAGAGGCAGACCCCTGGGCGGCGCAGGAGGAGGTGGAACCTCAGCGGTTGACCCTCTCGAGGCCGCCGAGAGCCGGGCGGAGCGAGCGCCAGGCGGAGGAGGATCAAGTGGACAGGTGCCGGCTCTTTGTCGAGGGGGATCCCACCAAGAACGAGCTCTACAGTCCCGAGTATCCCAATCTCTATCCAAAGAATATCAATTGCACGCGAGTGATTAAAGGTAAGTGATGGCATATCCTTTTCGATACATTTCGTAATTAATACATTTGATTGGAAAAAGGATCAAGCCCACAATTAAAGACAATTATCATTCATAGGCAGGACATGTGAGTGTTCGTTCGAGTGCTCGAACTAATTGCAGGCTGTATTCATTGCCGGGGATTATCTTCGGCTAAGCAATTAGGGAGAGATGGCGGAGTATCTTCGCATCTCCGCATCTCACAGATACAAAGACAAATACCAACTCTGATGGAAGCCAATTGGCAGTCGGGTTTCTGGGCTTAAGAGCATATGTTTCAGAGAAGTGTTCTTTTTTTTTCTTCAAGGGGGTTGGCTAATATATAGATTTAATCTTTGATTTTTGTTGGAAATATTTTAATGACTTTCGGTTGGTTGGGTTTTTAGGATTTTAGATATTTTTTTTTTAGGAGATATTTAAGAGTAATTACCCCGCTGGTGACTAAGCCCCTGGATGAGTGAAGTGCAGGCCTCGTAAAAGTTTATATGGCAAGCACTTGGCGACGGGCGAGCTACTGCAAATAATTGCAAAGTCTTTGGCGAAGTCTTGGGCTTCCACTGCTGTTGACATTACCAGATGTCAGTCAGCGAGTCAGTGAGTCATTTCTGGGGAGGGGATGCAGCCCAGCAGCCCAACAACCCAACAACCCAGCAACCCAACAACCCAGTGAACCGAAGGCATTAGATGGCGCTGATGCGTAAGATTCTCCACACAGATTCCACATGGCAGGGCCGTTTTGTGTGGCCCATTTAAAAGCGTTAGCGCGCGTTGACTCCCCATTTTCTTACCACTTGCCAGGACACGGGATACAGGACGCAGAAGAACCCGCACCAAGTCTTAAAACCTAAAACCCAAGCCCAATACGAATTGGATGAATGCCTGAAGGAGGTGGTGGTGGATGGGCGAAAGGCAAAGGCAAAGGCGAGGAGTTGTCATCATATTTGAGCTGCACTCGCTTCACTGCCTCAGAAACTGTGGAAACTCAAAAGTCAACTTCTTCCTGCTTATCTGAAAGGACGGGGTACTGGGAAAACTGGGACAAATCATTTGTCAGTTAAGACAAAATAATGTCACTGCAAAAGTCAAGAGCTGACAGATAAAACCTGAAAGCGAATGATTGACTTTCCATAAGCACGCATCAGCGGTCCCAGTATCTGTATCTACAAATATGTCAGCATATGCTAACCAGCTCCCTATTCTATCCCTCCTATCCCCTTCCTCCCCCCAGACCCATCTGCTTATTTGCATATCAATGTGTACTCACACACATAGATGTGAGAGGGAGTGTGTGTGCGGGTCTGGGCCACGTTAATGTTGGCCTAAGCGAGCCAGCTGAGCTTCGACTTTGGGGTTTGGTGGGTTTTTGTTTTTTTTTGTTCCTTCCAGCTTCCCGCTGAGCAAACAAAACTGCCAAAGGGAATTGCGACCATAAAAGTAGAGTGAAGTGGTGTGGAGTGGCGTGGCGTGGATTGGAGTGCCTTCGGAATCCCCAAATACATGGGAGAGATGCTTTTTTGAAGAGCCACTGTGACCTCTACGAGAAATGTTATAAAACAATTTCCGCTTCTGGTTAAAATTTATTCAAAAATTAAACAAAAATTGTAAATAAATTAGGAGTTCTTATGAAGATTTGAAGGGTAAACAAGTCCACAACATATAGCTAGTCAGTTAATTGGAAATCTGAAGTTCCTTAGTTACCTTTGCCACAATCCTGACTCTCCATTCTGATTCAATTCTTTGGAAAATTCTGTAAAAAAATGCTATAAATGCAGTTCAATTTGCAATTTTGTAAAAGAAGAGAAGCCCCTCGACAGAATTGTGGGTGGCAGTCTGGGCTTCTAATTAGGTTTTCACTTCGGGGGACTGCAATTGCAATTTCAATTCGGGGTAGTTAGTCCCCATGCCACAGCCTAGGGGATCTTTTTTCTTGTAATTTGATAATGTCGAGTAGTAGGAGTAGTAGTCCTTATAGTCCTTTTGGATCAGATTTGCTATTTCAAGGCCAATCAAAGCGAAAATTCCACTCTGATTTTGGTCTCAGCTTTCATTACTTGTCCATCTCCATTATATTGTGGCAGTGTGTCTGTATGTGTGTGTTTGGGTGTTAACACGCCTCTGTATTAGTGTTAGTCTGTCTGTGTGTGTGGCCACAAAGGTTCCATTTCAGTCAGAAGAGTGGGTGGAACAAAGTGTGTATGTTTTCAAATGCCAGTGCCAGCCCATTGCCATTGATTCATGCCAAGGATTCGTTACCTGAATATGTATGACCCACAATGTGAGTGTGAATGAATGAATGAATGAATGAGCGAATGAATGAATGAACGTGGCTGGGTGTGTCCAGCATCTTGATGCTGTTGTGGTTCGTTTTTATTCAGCCACTAAATGAGTCCCCAGATGCTTTCATTTTGGCTTCACAGATGCAAGATACGACGAGAAAGCATATCCTTGTCCATGATTGGGTCTTCTTGCCTTTCACTTTCCCTTGGTCCTTTTGCCAGCATGATGTTGCTTTGCTTCCTTGGTCCCTTTTGCTTTGCCTTTGGCCAAAGCTTATTTTATTTTGTGCCAAAAAGGTTCTGCTTCTGTATAGTGTTAATAATAGATACCAAATATTTTTATGAGACCATTCGAGTGGCCTTGGTAAGCAAATTATAGTCCCATTTGATAAGGTAATTCCAAAAAGGATTTGTTATTTTTATGATAACTGCGAGATTATTGAATTAAATGGTTAGATTAGTATTTTATTTCTTTATTAATAGTTTAATTTGGTAAGACTATAGTTATTTTAGTAGTAAGTGCACTACCACTTCGGTCTTGGCCCAAAAGCTGAGCTCTTAATAAGTATCCAGACTCTCCGGCATTTGACTTTTCCCAAGTCACTCCCAAGACATCCAGCCAGTTACCTTGGCAACCGACAAGACCTGATGGATAAATATATATACATTTCATTATATTTTCACAATTTTTTTCTTATAGTTTTTTTTTTGTTCGTTTTATTGTGTACTAACGTGTTGCATCTAATTACAGCGCCAAAGGGCCAAGTCATACGCCTGGACTTTCGCAACTCGTTCAATATCGAGGCCAAGGAGGAGTGCAAATTTGATTTCCTCGAAGTAAGTAAAGGGCAAGTTGGTATCTCTCTACAAAAAAAAAAAAACCTTAAAACAAAGACTAAAAAAGGAGCTAGAGCATAAAAAAGAAGCAACTTTGTTGTAAAAAGTGTGAAGCTGGAGCTGGAACTGCAAAAAAATGGTGAAGCGAAACAAAAACTTGCTTAGTTTCTACGGGCTTGTCTTGGCAAAGTTTTCGATTTGTTTCCTTTACGACTTTTCCTTGTTAACTGGGCTCTGAGCTCTATGCTGGGATGGCCTGGCCGTTTTTCTTCTTTTTTTTTTGCACCAGCCCGAAAAACTGCAAGTTTTAATTGAATGTTGTCTCTGCAGCCTGAACTCGTAAGCCTGATTTGAATGCCGGCCCCGGCAAAGCCCTGCCAATGCGGTTTAGGCCAAGACAAACTGCCAGTCTTGGCCAGTCTCGGCTTAGGCCGGCACACCGAAAGAAAAAAACTACTAAAGAAAAATATTCCAATTAATTATTACAGATACGCGATGGACAGTATGGTTTTTCGACGTCACTGGGAAAATTCTGTGGCACCGATTTTCCACCGGAAATCACCTCCAAGGAGCGATATTTGTGGCTGCATTTCCACTCCGACGAGACCATCGAGTATACGGGCTTTAGTGCCGTGTATGAGTTTCTGGACAGGAATCGGGATGCGCCAAGTACGGATCTCAATTGCACCATCGAGCGAGATGGCTATGAGGGATTCGTAAACTCCACGGACGTTCCGGCGGAGATACGAGAGCAGGTGATCCGGAATAAGGTTCCATTGGATTGTATTTGGCGTATACAAGTCAGGGAGAACTGGAAGGTGAGTTGGCCTGAATTTATATATATTTTTATTTAAACAATTTCTATTTTAATTTTTTTTAAGATCTTCATCAAGTTCCTGGAATTCAAGCTGAGCAAACCCAATGATTGTGAAACTAATTTTCTGGACTTTTTCCCCGAACAGACCGTCATGCCTTTAAGGTGAGCATGTAGTTTCCAATACTTTCCAACACTGAGAGAGAGATGGCAGCCACCGTGGCGTATACGCAATACCGCAAACCAATTTCCGCAATTCGCCGACAGACAAGAGAGATCAAAGCCAAGTCCGGGGCCCAAGACAAAATTTTCAATTTATTACCCAAAAAGGCCAAAAAGTAAATTGTACTACACCGGAAGTGGTATAGCCTTTGACCTGCCAGGATCCCATCTTACTCTGGCTCTCGTTCTTGTTCATGAAATGAATTTTGTCGTCTACCGGTTAACTGACTGAGTGACTGACTGAAAGACTGACAAAGTGACAGGAGGACAGAATGACTGAAAAAGTGAGTGCGGCATCTTCGACACGCGTTTGACATCCGCTTTTAACGCGCCAATACATTTCCACTTGTTGCTGCTTTTTGCTGTTCAGGACAACACTCAAGCTGATTGACTGGTGTTTATACACTGAGGGAAATTTCATATTAAGAGTTTATAAAAATAAAGGAAATAAGTCTCTGGTTTATCCCCAAATTGATATGTTTTTTATACAAACTTAATTCCCGACAACAATAATCCTTCATAAGCTTCTTTGTTTCTCTGATAAACAATAGTTAAAAACAATAAATAAAAATAGTTCAAAATTAACAATCAATTTTTGCCACCAAATATTTCAAAGGGTTTTCTACCGTCATTGGAGAAAAACTCCATCAAGCTTAACATTGGTTTTTTTCGGTGTCCTTCGTAGCTTTTGGGAAAATGTTAAATGGAAAGTCCTGGTCCGGGGCCAGAGACATTTTCCATTCTGTGTGTTCGGTTTTTTTTTTTTTTGGTCTGCCATTGATTTGATGGCTTTGTTGGTGTTGTAGCTTTCATTTAAATTCATTTTTCGTAACAATTTATCGCACACGACGGGGGGTGGCAGTTCACTCATTCTCTCAAACACACACACATACCGAACAAGGATACCCCCACAGGACATGTACTTTTTTTTTGGTTTTCGGACGAGGGAGGCATTAAATGCGTTGAAAGAAGCCAAAGCAGCAGATCGGCAGACAGAGCAAATAAACATAAATACAATATTCAGCAAATGTCATCATTTAAGCCATTTTATAAATTATTTATTTATCGATTATGTGCGCCACCAACGATATATGGCCGACGAAAATCTTTACCAATTTAAGAACGTAATTTTTTTGGGGAAGAAATACTGTTTTTTTCTGTTAATAAATTTGAAACTTTGAAAGTCTTTTGGACCATAAATCAATATTTTTTTTTTTATTGATTCCGATATAATTTCCGACTCCTGCTGTTCTAAAGGCGGTTCAATCCACACTAATCTTTTCACTTCCTTTTTAAATGAATTTTTATTTTCAGAGTAAAGAACTTTTGCGGGTCGGCGGGCGAGAGTATTACGGCGGAGTCGAATATTCTACATTTGCGATTCTACGCAGATCCCAATGCGATTAACTCAACCTTTGGTATTCTGTATACGGCGTTCCGGGATAAAGGAGCAGGTGAGTCTGAAAAAACCGGAATCTCAAATCCAAAATCCGAAATCCTTAAACCAAATCCAAGTCAAGGGTGAACTCTTTTGATGACTGGCTGGCTGGCTGGCAAATCCCTTGAATTGCCAACAAATGGCTGCAAAGGCGAAAAAGTACAAAGGCAGGGCAATCCGGGTGCTAAGCTTGGCCCAAATCTCCAGTTTCGACCCTCTTGGTTTTGGCCATTTTGGCTGGCTTGTCTAACCGAACTATCACTGCCATATCCTATCTGTCTGAGTGTCCTATCTCTCTCTCTCACTCTCTCAAGGAGTAAGAGGTCCTGGCTGGCGGTGATTGCCGCCAGTCGACAGTTGCCAGTTGCCAGTTGCCAGTGGCAAAGGCTAAGCACTCTTTTGTCATTCAACGATTGCCCTTTGTACTTTTTTGGGGCGAGGAGCATTGTTTACTTTTAGGCTGCAGCCAGGCCAGGACATTCTCCGAAGGCGAGTCCTTGAGCGGTGGCTTCTACTTCATCTAGTTGCCGGCATCGGCAATTATTGTTGTTGGCAATTATTGAGATTACGTGCATTCGCCTCGCCCCGTAGCACCACTGAGGTCCTGTGTGGCTTCGATGGCTGTCGCCGCCACCGCCGCCATCGCCGCACAGTGGCAAGTGGCAAGTCCATAAATTCAAGCCTCACAATTGATTGAAATTTGAACTCAAATTGAAAATGGCCCAGAGCCATACATTCTCTCAGGTGGCACTGCCAACAATTCAAGGCTTAAAAAGCCATCAACTTTAATGGAAAAATCATTCCATTATTAAACTTTGAAATGAATTTAAAATCAATTGTCAAATCAACCACTGTGCGATTTACGGTTTTGATTGCCATTTTTAGCCATTTTAGCCGTTTTAGCCATTTCTATTGCTCTCTCTATCACTTTAACCGCCATTTGATGCCAACAATTTTTTTTACAACTTTCTCCACAATCCATACAATCCTGTCTCTCTCGTCCTGGCAGCCTGCACTGTGGATGAATACGATTGCGACGACGCGACCTGCATTTCAAAGGATTTGGAATGTAATCAGCTTGACAATTGTAAATTTCGATGGGACGAGGAGAATTGTGGGGTAAGTACTCTACTACACAGAGAATATAATTATGATAATTATTTTTAAAGAAATATATAAAGGGGATTAGATACCTCTTAGCTTTACAAGCTCATTAGAGCTTAAAATGGGGTTAATCCTTATAAATCTTTAGTCATTAATTTAGTTAGTTAATCTAATTACTGGCCTTATTTTTCTCTCAGTGTTATAACACACAAAACTCGGCCGTTTGTACGTGCATCTAATTATAGGCAAACTCGTTCTGGCCTGACTTCAAAATCCGTAACCCTCACACTCAATGACCTCTCTTTCTCTCGCCCCCTGACCCTCGCCCTAGTCATTCGGATCATTATAAGTATGCTCGACACGCCGATGACGGTAACACCCCAAAAAACACTCACGTATACTGCCGCATACTCTTCCAAAAACACACACACATGTTTATACAACCCCAACCACCCACACACACACATACAGTTAAATGCAATGGCTAACACACACACACACTCACAAACATACAAAGTTGGTCAAATAAGTTTTGTTTGCCAAAGTTTGAGGTTTGTATTACAGGAAAGCTTTGTTGATTTTTTTCTCCTTTTTTTTTTGTTTTTATTTAAGAGGGTAAGGGGTCTAGGGGGGGGAGAGTGTGTGGCAAGTTTGTGTTGGGGCATGTTCGTTAGCCGTAAATAACAGTTATTTGCAAGGCCAACACCACCACCACAAAAGTTGAACATCAACGCATTAGATCATTAGATTTGATAAAGTCAGTTCGCTCTCTCGAGTTACTTAGACTCCGACTCTGACATCACAGGGAATGATTCATGCTCTTGCCACATGTGGCATGTTAGCTAACTAGTCTAACTACTAGTATTTACTTGCCTTGTCTGTGTTAGGTAAGGTATTAAATACCTTAAACAAATTATATTACAAATTTCTGAAAAGTGCGTAGTTCACACCTCCCAAAATATTTAACATTTGTTTAAAATGGGTAGTTACCCTTGCAAAATATTGAAAATATTTTAAATGTACTTTCTCTTCCTTCCTAACAATAAATCTTTCTTAAAAGTGGTTAGCTATCTTTCCCAAAAAATAAATATTAAATATTTCTTCAAGATGTGTAGTTATCCTTACCCAAGATGTGTAATTTAAAACCCTGTACTTTACAAAATCCCAAATAAACAAACAATTTAAATTCAATAAACCTTTAATTGTCTATTACTTAACTAACCATCTAACTAAATCAAACACAATGAAAGTAATTGACTTTTCCAATTATGGCTTTATCCATTTCCATTTTTGGCCAAACGTTTCTTGGCCAATTAAAATTTACATTTCGAGAATAATTTTTTTTTTTTTTTGGAAAATGCTTTTATAATTATCGGTCGGATATGTTGGCCATAAAGGGAGAGGTGGAGTGGCCCAAAGCCATGGCATATTAACCAAATATTGGATATAGAATTTTTAGTATTTCGGTATGCAGTTGGTTGGTTTCGGATTGCAGCATCTAATTTGTTCAAACGATATTAATTTGTGGCAGTGGGTGTGTGTGTGTGTGTGCTCAATCAAATGCTCAATCAAGTGTGTGCACAAGCCATGTTTATTTAATTGGCCAACATTAAAATTTGGCCAAAACTATTCCGGTCCAGAGCGAATTATTCATAAATGTATTACAGAGACAATTAATAAAGGTTGATTATTTTGGGCTAAGCTTTGGGGTTAAAATTTTCATTAAGTTTAATTTTTAAAAATTAAATAAAATTAATATTTTATTCATTAGCCAGAAAATCATTATCAATTTATTATTTTTAATTTTTAGACTGAAACCCAAGGGCAGTCGGAGCATGTGATCATCATAGTGGTTGTTTTTGGACTGATACTCGGCGGCATGGTAATGACCTTCATCGTCAACTGCATCCGCAAGATAATACGCGATCAGAAGATAATTCGGGTAAGTGCCGAGATACTTGTCAACTGTCATTTGCAACATGCAACTAGTCCCCCAGCCCGCCCCTCAAGTCCTCTGCCAAAAAATGTTTAGCCTGTGCTCGCTCGCGTGTCCTGTTTCCTGCCAAAAAATAAAAAAATATAAAAAATATAGCCTCCCATACACCCCGCCTGCAGCTCGCTCGCTCGCTCTCTCTCTCTCTCTTTCTCACCATCTGTATACCTTTCTTTCTCAATTGACTCTGTCTCTGTCGCTCGTTGTGTGTGCTTGCCCCGCCCACCACCATCATCCCCGACCCGCCCCACTAGAATAGCCTCCCCAAGCGTGGCCGCAGCAGGCAAGCAAAATATATTTCTATATTTTTCCACACAAAACATATGTATGTATGTTTATGTATTTATTTCATTTTTATTTTCATTAGATATTTAACCAAAAAAAATGTATAAAAAATTAAGAATAACATTTAGCTGCATTTGAAATGCCCACAAAACCGAAATTTCACACCAAAACCCCAAAATATTAAATTCATGGAAATGGTTTTAAAAACTATTCTAAAAAGAAACAAAGGTTTGAGGTTCAAGTTGATGGAAAATGAGCTTGAACTTTAATTAGATAATTATTTAATATTATTATTTATCAATTATTATTTGGAATAAAATCTATCTGAATAATAAAATAATTATATTTTAATGCTTATGCCATAATAGTCACCTTATCTCTTCATTATTGTGTTAATCAACAAAAGCCATTTGTTTTCAAAAAAAAAATACTCATAACTCTATCAACTATTATTGAAAAAAACCTTAAGAGTAGTTTTTATTATTTTTCATTGAATAACTTTACACATCAGCGATTTTGGTGCCCTTAAATTTATTTCAATATTATCCCAACCAATTAAATGTATCTTTTTTTTTTGGCTCATTTGGCAAACACTTTAAAGGCCAATTGAGTTAACTTGGCCCGAAGCGTTGTTAGAGCGGTTAAATAATTTACCGGAAGAGCGTTAATTCGAGGGGCTTACACTCGACTTAACAGGCAGTGACCGTGCATCGATATAATTATACATATTGCAGTACAATTCTACCATTTCCCATATATATATATTGATTGGATATATATATGTCCTGCGTATATCCTGCATATATATGACAAACTCGTTTTGCATATGTAAACATAATTTGCATTGACTGCGACGACTACTATTTGACAGTCGAATCTGATTCAGGAATGGAAATGGGATTGCAATTGGAAATAGTATAGGTGTATAGGTATAGGGACATGGACAGGATTGGGAGGGCTACCATCGACATGATGAGTCCGCGAATGACAATTGGCATAACTGACAATTAGGCCACGTTTAGACTGCGGCTTTGGGCTTAATTAGAGCCCGGCTACGAAATACAGTAGCTCTTCTCCAAACTAACAGTTAATGGAGCCTGTTTAGGCCTTAATTTCTTGGCCAATTTCATCCCTAATTCCAGTACTATAGGACTTTAAGTTGAAACCACCCCACTTTACATTATTAAAATTAAATTAATAATAAACTAAAAGGGCATTCAGCCAAACATTTGTGGCCAGAAATTCAGGACACAATTGTTTACCAAATCGGAAAATTACCTTTTAGGCAACTACTAGTCGCTCGCTTTGAATAGTTTGTCTTTGTTGATGATTGGCAAACCACTTTGATTTCATTAATTGATCTCCTGGCCACATTCCAGCCCACAAGTGTCTTCCAGGAATTTGTCGTTCAAGCTGCCACAAACTGTCATGTTACCGCATATTATCAATGAAGTGACACATTTCACTCAAGACTTCATGATTGGAATTAATTATGAATGATAATTGTTGCGAACCGAACTCTGTGTATGATGTGTGTGTTTCAATTAGCGGATCTCTATTTTCCAAGAAAGATCCAGGACCCTGTCAAGGACATTAGTAAAAAAAAAAAAACAATAATATGCAGCGTGTTAGGAATCTTGTCGCCTTGTCTCCCATGATAGTGAAATATGTGCCAAATGCGGGGAGGCGAGGAGCACTTTTCTCACGCACTGTCTGAGTTTTTTGTACTTCTGCCAAGAATTTAATAGACATGCAGAATTTCCACACCCCCAACCTCCTTCCGCCGCCTCTCATACCATGTCCTTTTCCGATTCTAATGGCGTCTGACACTTTGAAATGTAAAATAGACTTTGACTCTGAGCCCCCTCCCAAAGGGTGGTTGAGACCCAAACCCTCCTACAATCCGATTCGATTTGTATTCGTATTTCCTATTCGTATTCGTATTCATTTCTGTGTAAAAACAACCCAAACCCCAGGCTAAACCCAAACTCAAGCTGACTAATCAATACAAATGAAATTTGTCAGTCGAATGCTTTTGAAATACTTGCAAAATTCTAGACGAGAAGTGTGTTGAAAATTTGGGTATTTTGTTTTGCAGCAAATTGCTGACATTGTTGGCTTGAAATAAATATTGAAAATGCATGAATTTTTAAGAGGATTTAACACGAGAGGGTCGTAATAGTCTCCCAGTCATATGATACCTAGTACTTCTCATTTGTCAAGTGTGAGCTTTAAATTTGTGGGCGACTGGATGGCAGGATGTACATACATATGTACATATTTGAACAGCAATTCTGTTAAATCAAGCAGCAGACCGCGTCTATAAATATATCAGCAGACAGTGAGAGGACGACGAAACCACTGAACCACTGAACCACCAAGAGCAATACCAGACCATACCACACGCACTCTGGAATACACTTAATTAACTTGCTGGCGGAAGGAGTCGTCAAACATTCTCTTGGCCACCCCATTGGCCCTCTAGCTCCAAAAATCCATCTTGCAACCACACCACTTTGCACCGCCACCACTCTGCCACACTGCCACACCGCCAGTTCGAATGATATTCAATTTGGACAGTGGCCCACCAAGTTCTGGGCAAGAGTCAACGTCAAATTGAGGCTTTGGTGCGAGCACGACCCCCGGGGGGATACAAAATACCATGAGAAATGAAGTGAACTGAAATGAAATGACTTTTGCCAGGACAACCGTGCCAGGAGGAGCGGAGGGAAGGAGGAGGAGAGTTAGAAGGAGCAGGAGCTGGAGCAGGACCCAAGACCCTTGACAACCGATGAGAGTTGTTTCCTGATATTGATATCGACACCAGAGGAAACTTTAGTCCTTCGGCTCGAAGCGCGTGCAAAAATAATTCGCAATTCGCAAACTCACTCCGGCCCGCAAATGTATAATTTCATTATTTGCAAAAAAAAACGCAGAAAAGGAAAAGAAAAACAGAAATATTGATACGCGAATAATCTATTTTAATAAAGACAGTATCCAGTGCAACTTCCGTAGGCTCTGCCGTTCTTAAAGACCAACTCTACCGACGCTCCAACTGACTATCAATAAAGCAATGAAAATATAATTATTCAAACTTAATTGCAAAAGTGTCCTGGTGTTGGATTATCCAATTAATTTCATCACGCCCTCAACATTTAATTGTGTTTTTCTTTTGTCTATTTTTGTGTTAAAATTAACACCTGATGGTTGATTGAAATTAAAATTCCAAAAAACATAGGGCATTTGTTGGGTTTTTTTTTATAGTCTTTTTCCAGATCAGGTTTATAATAGAGAATCGCTTAAGAATGTCCTGATATTTGCTCTGATAGTGTCCTGATAACCTGAGGGTGGCAAGTTTCGGATTTCCAGTTCTGATTTGAGGGAAAATCGGTGTGAATTGAAGCCTGATGATGCCACGTAGACAAAGCAGTCACAACCATGTTCCAGCTAAATTGTAAAACAGCCGCGATTGCTGACTTTTGCCCCCCACTGCCCACCCAAAAATCGATGCACGATGGAACTTTGACCTGGTTAGACAATGGGCGGGTCAAAGGCAGCTCGACACAATGCCTATGAACTTAATTTGTAAAGCATACTTCAGGGTTTCATAGTAAAGAACATAAATATTGGACTTCTTTTCATAAATTAACTTTTTGATAGGAAAGCTTATTTATTTTATCTCTCTTTTAAGAAAGCTTACAATTTTAATATATTATTTTAAAGATTTGTAACCTCTTATAACCTGACTAAGCCCACTGTACTTTGGGACACCTGAGCTTCACAGACGCAGTAGAACCTCAATCTGATTATCGCCTCGAGTGCTGTAGGACGGTTGATGGAGTTGTGGGTTAGTGGGTGGCACAAAATATCACCTGCTTGATGGCCCCACGCCACCCCACCTATCCTGCCCCCCTGCCCAAGGCATCCCGTCAGCTTTTAACCGCATTTCCCCCCAAAAAACTTTATCCGATATTTGGGAGGCGGGTAGTGGTGGCGTTGGAAAATAATGCCATCAATAATGGCAAAAAGACTCTGACTGAATAAAACAAAAAACCAAAAAAAGAGGTTAACAGCGGGTGGGGGGTTGAACCTTTTCTTTGCCATCTTTTTTTATTGCCAGGCTGGCATTTATGAAACTGCAGCGCATCACATAAATTTGCACAAAGCGAACATCAAATCAAATCGAAGGGATATATAGGGTATAACCTGCATACATACATATATATATTGGTTCTGAACCGAATCAATTTAGCAGATTTCAAGTCAGCAGATTTGATAAAATCATTGCTAGATCGGACTAACTTTAATATGCCATTTTGGCCACCAAATGGCGCCCAACGTGTAGCTCTGTATGAGTGTGTGTGTGGAAAATTTTCGGTGGAAAATCGAAAAAGAAAGCCAAGCAAAGAACCATTTTCATTTTTTTTTTTTCTTTATTTTTTTTTTTGTGGCTGGATAGATGTAAACATTCGCACATATAATAAAACTTATTTCCATATTCCTACACTTTGTAGCCCCTTTCACCCCGCCTCTGCCCTTGGCTTTTGGCCAGACCCCTTGCCTCCTTATCCCCTGCGCTTTCTTTCTTTCTTTCTTGGCCCAGAACCTCTTACAATTTCTTGTTCCCGAAAAATTTTCTGTTGCCACTTAGATTTTAGCATGTA